CTTTATATGGAAGAAAATGCGTGATACAGTCAGCAAAAAAATTATCAAAAATCAACGCGAAAATTGAATGGACTATAAAACTGCATACTCGATGTTTTTCAGAAATTCTGAAATTGATGAAACTTTGCAGAATTCTTCTGAATTTCATACAATGTGATGAGAAATTAAATCATCTCTACATTCCATACTTTATTACACCAAAATGCAACCTTACTTTGTACACCACTACAACCCTTGTATACGTATTTTAGCATAAGTTCAAGAGCCTTTGTTACTGTAACTTCGTACAAGTTTCTAGAATAAAGATAGCCATTGGAAAATTAGAAATAACCACGTTATTATTCAACATTTTGGTCCTTCGCTCCGAATTTGGAACCACCGACTTGCAAAGTGTAAAGTGAACGCATTTTGGAGTTTTACATTTGAAGCGTTTGTTCGCAGCGTCAATTTATTTAGTTTTCCTTTACACTCGTGCGAGTAGCATTACGAGACATACATACATACGTTTGCAATGTCTCTGACAGCGTTGAAAAGTCAACGAGGCAGATACAGGGCCTCAATAACGAGCGCATTTAATTTCTCAAATGAAGTAAATGACGCAACGCCTTCGGCAGAGTTGGAAGTGAGAATTTCCAATTTGAATGAAGCATGGAAACAATTGAATTTGATTGAAAATCAAATAAGCGGATTCGAAGAGAGTACGGAAGATGAAAATGCTGTGTCATCGTTCACACATTATGAAGAGAAGTACATACAAGCTCTCGCCCGTATAACAACACATCTGCGGGAGAAGCAAGAAACAGCGAGTAGGCAGCAAACGCCGCAAACAGTGAACGAGTTACAATTAGGGTTGCAAAATCTAGTGCTGCAACATAATGACGTAGTGTTACCGAAAATGACAGTACCGACATTTTCTGGTGAATACAGTGCGTGGNTAGGTGTACTTTTTTTGTTTATTCAACTTTCAAATCGTTTGAACAGTGGTTCAGCCGGAGGTCAAAACTCAAAAATATACACATTGTCTATCCTATGATACATTGACAGGCAATCAGTCATTATTAATGATACTTTATTACAGTGTAATTTTTTTTTGCGATACAAATTTTTTTAGATTACTTCCTCACTCTCGAAAGTTGACAAAACATATTTTCATTGTGAATCGTGTTTTCAGTGACTCAATACTTCTAAGGGCCGTTTTCTCATCTAACCTTTAGATTACCGGCCACTTTATCGTCTCGATATACGAGTTTTCGTTTTCTCATCAGCGCATTAATTTCTCGAATCGATAAATTGTTGCTCACCCGATGCAACCTTAAAAATTTGTACACAACTTTAAATTTTGGTTTGGTTTTGGTTCATGAGTCAGAAGACATTACCAGAATTAGAAAACGTGAATACTCCTGATATTGATTTGCGTGTCAAAAATATATGTAAAAGGCTTCGACGGTTTTGATAAGAGGCTCATAGTGTTAAAAAAAAAACGTGAAAAGCAAGCATTCGAACTGGTTGGACGTGACAGAAGTTGTATTTTTACCAAAACATGCTACCAAATTGCATCCAGCATGACTAAAGCCATATAAATTAAAGTTTCAAACTTTGTACAAAATTTAGGAAAATTCTACAAATTTATTAATCTAAGTTTTTAGAAAATTAGCAGTTTTATAGGTTATGAAATTTTTTGTATGATAAAAGGCTAGCTTCAAAAGGTTGAAAATTCGCGTTAATTTTTTAAATTTTATATCTGAACGATCTTTCATGACACGATATGAATTTCTTAAAAAGTAAAAAGTTTTGATGAAAATTTGCTGAATCTTCCTAAATTTTTTAAAAAAGTTTGACATTTTTAATATTTTAATTGAGCTTTGTACCACGATTGTTTATTAGGAAAAATTGAAAAAGCAACAAAGTCTAAGCGGTAGAAGTGATAGTAGCTATTTTGGAGATCACCACATCTCCTCATCAGACTTCGTTTTTCTAGACTTCAGCAGGGATCGAGCCTGCGTAATCGATGTTCAAGTCAGAAGTGTTAACCACTGAGCTTTGTACACCCCGTACACATTTTAATTTATATGGTGATAGCATGAACAATACGTTGATGGAAAATTAGCATAAAGATTTAACTTCAAAATCAACATGTAAACTACAAATATTAAATTTGCTTGCACACCGCATAAATTCAGTGCAAATACAATTATTACCATGTTTATATCAACTCATTTTCTTGTTTTTAGTTAAAATATAGCTTAAATTCAGCATACCATAGCTACAACCTTTTAATAAAAATCTATTTATTAAAAAAAAAAAAATTTATTATACATTTTTCAAAATACAAACCTGAGAAATTTAGCGTTATTAAATAGAAAAATATCGTAGAATTTGTATCTTACGAAAATACCAATACATGGGAGGTCAGCGTGGTTATTGTTGCATATATTTGCAAAGAATTTTTGAATGCGGCTAACAGTAGTGAGTGTACTAAGTTTGGATGAAATCGGTTAGGCGGGTACACATATTTCATGATAAGTGGGCTTGAAAACGCCCATTTAAAAAAAAAAATATTAAATACTATATTTTTTGCTTAAAGTTCACTGTATATATCAATTTTAAGCAATTTGGCTGCAGTAGTTACTTGGCCGGTCACCTGACCTTCAGTCTGATTCAATAATGCTGCAATTTTCTTATCAGAAATTCGGGGGTAATATGAAAAACCTGACCTGTTCTTTTGTGTACATGTGACTATGCGTGCCTTTCTCAAATGGGAATTTTGCCAGCAGTGCTTAAAGGTTCCTTTTCTACTTAATGTATATCCTAAGGTTATTTTTACAAATGTGTTTCTGTGTTTGGTGTATATTTTAGAGTTTTAGTAAAGAGGTCAAGGAAAAGTCCTTTTCTTGTAGGGACGTTAATGTACGTTTACATCGGTGAGTGTGGGCACTTAAAGAACTAACGTCAAAAAGTCACATTACGAACATTGCACCGGAAATAGCACTTAATTAAGTTTACCTCGGACACAAACCATACACATGACCAGGGTTGCACTTAGTTTTCTTACCTCTTTGTGGGCGCTAAAGAATTAAATGAAATAAACGTAAAATAATAAACGAAATCTATAGATTTGCATTCAGAGGTAACAACTAGGAAAAGTCAAACGTTCTACAATCTTTGATAAAAATAATCGAAGTTTTCAAGCTTCATAATCACTCAGAAAAACAAGTAAATAAAAAGTAAATTACATTCATCCGGCAACACTACTCAACAGCTGTTCGCAAACTGCAATTCGTGCTTTTGTTTTGTTGTATGCCTGCACACTGGCATTTCTACATTAAAAAAAAGAAGAAAAATAGAAAATACTTATTGGCGCATTGTTTTCATAAAAAATTGTGTACTAGATAAATCGTAAAAATGGAATTTACAATGTTTTAAATTAAAAAACTACGTAAAGCGGTGGTCACGCCAATGAAGATTTAGGTGGCGACCTCGGGGGAGCCCTGTGAACATATGCGGCGCTATGAGTACAATCTCGGCAGCTAGCGTGCCAGAAGTGAAGACTACGTCGATTTAAGATACCAAAGAACAATGTGGCCACGCTTTTTTGGCCGACGTATACTCTACATTACCATCACATTACTTGCCGTAATATTTTTAGTAACGAATTTACTTAAGGTGAGTGCTGATTGGCGACAACAAATGGCCAGTACTGATTAACCATATCTAAATACCTTCCTTAGCATGGCGGTCTTAGCGCCCTACATGCGGATAATGTGCTCACCGTTCAGCGCACACGTCCGCTCATTTGGCGCACACTTCAGGAACACCTACTGCCTGACGAGCCACAAAATCGCACCAACGATCCAGATATGCGTTGCCGCAACTCTGTGCAGGGACGCGATTTGCTCGTCGATGATCGCGGCTTTCTCTGCCGTCGCGAACATCTACTACTGCCCAGTAATTGCTGTGATGTGGAAGTGTCCGAAACAAAATATTACACATGCGACACATGCAATGCAACGACACATTGCTGTGATATGTATGAATATTGTGTATCTTGCTGCCTGCACCCGGCAAAGCGTACATTGCTGGAGCTAGTCTTGCGCACAATTACTGGCCGGCAGGCAGCTGTATATGCCCATGTAGAGGATCATTTCGAGTTGTGTTTAGTTAAGTGCCGCACCAACTCGCACTCTGTAGCCCATGAAAACAAATACCGCGATGGGCTGCCCAAATATTGTTACGGGCAGACAGAAGCGCATGAATCGCAACGTGAAGTATCAGGTAGTATGGCACGATGATTGTACTGCTCCCATTTACCCGGAGTAAATATGGTGGCGAATGGGAGATAGAAAAATACATTTCTAGTAGTGCGTAGTAATTATTTACAATGACTGCACCCAGCTGTTCAAGTCAACTTCGTAAGATTATATGAAGTATGCAACGAACGCTTAATTCTATATTAAATACGTTTATATGTAATTAAAATGGTACCGAATGTTAAAATGAGACATGGTGAACGTGCCGCTGCTGCTGACACATTTATTTTAACATTTGAGTGCTAGTGCTAGTTTCATATTCGATATCCTGTGCGAATAAAAATGATTGTAACGTATTTAAATCTTAATATAAGTGTAAGCTTGTAGACGTATTGCAAACTGTGGTTAATAACAAAATTACTCATTAGCAGCTGAAAATTTAACTGGCTTTGGGGGTTTGAAAACTAAAATACCATGACACAACAATTTTAAGTATTAAATTAGAATTTAGTTAGCACTAATTTTAATTTTATATCTTTTAAATTAAGGTCTTGGTACAAGTATAGATATAAGATTGTTAGATTTCATATGTTTTGAATTAATACTCTTTTTGCTTTAGTTAAGCAAAAGTAAAATGTAACATTAATTACATTAATAAATTAAAACGTAATTTTTTCACATTATTTTAAATATGAATCATCAATGTTAGTAGGAATATGACTTGGATTTAGTAACCACTTCATAACAAACGTAATTTCTTGCCTACCATTTACTGTTTTCTGTACAAAACGCATTTCAAAAAAATAATTATGTAACTACGTACCAAAAATATTAGATTTTTAACTTCTATTTGTCATATATTTTCGGATTTGTTTAATTGTAATGGCCTCTCATCCAATGACCAGTTGCTCCGAAAATAATGATGGCTGCATTCCTGTTGGATCAGCATCATTTAACAACATAAAAGATTTCGATCTGGAGGACATTGTGCAAACATTGACGAATACGGTTAATGCAACAGTTAATACAGCCGTGCAACTGATATTGAGTGATGTGGGAGGCGAATTCTTTTATCCTAATCCAAGGCCTCGGACTAAGACCACAAAAGTACATCATGAATTTCTTAGCTTCGATGCTGAATACAAAGAGAAGAGTATTGATTGGGTTACTATACAGGATTTTTCAGTCAATGAAATATTCACACAAGTGCGCGACTTTATAAATTTGTGGCATTTATCAGATGCTACGAAATTTACGCTTGGGATAAACGACAAGTCACATATTATACCAAGGAAGGGTACTAGATATTTTCTTGATGCAATTTTTTCGAAGCCCACACCCGTTTGTCCTAATCCATTGGCTGTTGCAAAAGTCTTCTTTACCGTTATAGTGCCCCAATACTTACCAAAACACTATCCAATTAAGGTGATCTATCGCTTTGAAGGCTATAGCACACATTATCATGCGAATGGGCCACGTGAGATGCGTACTAAGGATTTTCAAAGGTACTTTATTGATTCAATACTGCAAAGAAAACTGGTGTTCTATGCAAAGATATTCGAATGCCGCCATCCACATATTAAATTGAACAAAAGCAAACCATTTAAGGAGAACGATGAAAGTGAGGAGAAGAATGGGGGTGTAGAAGAGGAGAAAAATCCCGTTGATGATATGAATGACTATGATCTCGCCGGTTTAAATGATAATGCAAATGATCAAACTGATGATTTTATAATCAAGAATGCAAGCGAATTATACGAAGAGCAAATATTGTAAATAAATACACATACTTTACGCAAAGTTTTTAGCTAAGTAGAATTTAATTACTAAATTATTCACTTTTCCTTTATTCGCCAATAACTGAATTGATAGTATGAGAAAAAACTGTGAAAATATTAACATATTTGTTGAAAAGAAATCTGCAAACAGTTACGTTTAGGCCTAAATTGCTATGAATCACTAGCATTCAACCTATCCATGAAACCGATCTTGATGACTATAACCTGCTTAGTAGCAAAATAAGAGATTTAAAGCTAACAATAAAAGAATGGTTCCTGTGGAAAGATATCTGTGCACCGCGGCGTATGAGTTACATTATACTCGGCAGTCATTTTTACCACCTGGACGAAAGAGGTCAGGCCACAATGGATATTCCCGTCGTTGGCGAACCAATTCCGACGATGAACATCCCGTGGACGAAGCTTCAGACATGCATTGCCTTCTGAACATCACATACACAGTGAGGCCCAACAGTGACGCTCAGCAAGCTGTTCCTAATAGGGTGTTATAGACGTGAGCACCCGAACAGACGCTTGCTTCATGCACAGCCCTCACTCAGTCCCGTCGGAAGGCATATCTGTGAGCTGAAGTACGAGGTCCAGTAGCATGTACAACAGACGTTGGAGCCGAGACTGTACAGATAGGCTACAAATGGCATTCAGAAGAAGGCTACTACCGACTATGTATACGGACTCCCGTCCTGTCGATGGTGTCAGCGATCCAAGCACCAACTGTTAATGAGAATGAGTTTCATTTGCCGCGACAGACCCGCATCGCTTTGGCCCAATTACGGTCTGGACACTGCAGCCGCCTAAGCAACAACTCCAATAAATGTCCAACATGCGGAGATTCCCCACGACACCAGCCACCTCTTCACAACTCAACTCGGCTAATACCAGTTTCCCTGTAGAAAAATCACGTTTCCTGCTGTTGTTGTTGTTGTTGTTGTTGTTGTAGCAACATACCAGCTCCCCAAAGAGTTTTTGGGGAGTGTTGCTGGAGTGACAGTCCTTGGCCAAATATAAATCTGGGTCGNATTCGTTAAACAAATCAGTGTTCGTACGCAAAAGTAGCTTATGTAGACCAGCTGGCTTTAGTATAATGCGGCATTCCCTTCCAGTATCGGAACTATTTCTTGCACGTTTATTTGCCAAACACTGTTAACAGCTCAGCGCCAGTGAGTCATTCGCAATCATATGCCGCGAATGCCGATTTATACTAAAGCCAGCCCTTCGACATAAGCTACTTTTCCATACGAACAAATGTTAATGCGCATAAACAAATATTTAAACTGTATGTAAGTATTTGGGAGGACCTCTTCGCACGGTTTGAAACCAAACGAGGTTTTAGACAAGGCTCTCTCGTGCGACTTCTTTAATCTGATGCTGGAAAACGTAATAAGAGCTGCCAATCTGAATCGCAGCGGTACCATATATAGCAAAAGAACGATATCGCTGGCATATGCAGATGATATCGACATCATCGGTCTGAAACAAAGGGACGTAACTGCAACATTTTCCCGTTTAGAAAAGGAGCTAAAGAGGTTGGTCTAGTGGTGAACGAAGACAGGACAATATACCTCCTAGCATTATATAAAAAGTCCACGCGTTTCGATGCACACTGTTTACTGTTGGCAGCTATAACATTGAAGTAGTGAAAGACTTTGTTTACCTAGGATCCAGCATAAACACCACCAACAACGTCAGCCTGCAGATCAAGCGAAGAATAACTCTTGCCAACAGGTGCTATTTCGGGCTCGATAGGCAATTGAAAAAGCGAGCCCTCTCTTGGCGAACAAAAATTACGCTCTTCAAGTTTCTCGTCCTGCCCGTTAAGGCGCAGAAACATGGACGATGTCAAAGAAAGATGAGAAGGCTTTGGGTGTTTTCGAGAGACCTATTCTACGTAATATCTACGGAGAAGATAGAATTACGAACTGTATGAGCTTTTTAACGACATAATTAAGCGCATATGTATAAGTATAACGATTGCGCTGGCTTGAACGCATGGATGACGACGCTCCTTTGAAAAGATCCCTTGACTTAGCACCCATGGGTGGACAACGAAAGCAAGGGCGCCCGCGAACAAAATGGAAAGGCCAAGTGAAGAAGGACCCATCTGCACTCGCGATGAAAAACTGGCGCAAATTTGGCACAGGAGGGAGGCGATTTGAGAAGTTTTTTGGTCTCGGTCCTAACCGACAAACGATTATAGCGCCAAATAAGAAGAAGATGTCAGTATGTAATGACACTCAAAATGCTTAATCAATATGAAGTACACTCAAAGGTACACGAGAATTGAAGTCGGATGTGTTTTTCGCTAAAAACTGTTTGTATATTCATTGTCTTTTGATCACATCACTGGCACGTCTAATGGAAATTTCTAAAAACTCCATACAATTTTTCTAATTTTTATATTTTTTCATTTATTTTTTTATTTAATTTGTTTTTTTTATTATATTAATTTTCTTTTATTTTTAGATGTTATTGTTTTAAAAATCAAAATAAATTTGTTTATATCATTTAATTTTTAGGATCTTATTTTAGGGGTTTTAATTAAATTTTCTTTAAATTTCTAGATTTTGTTTAAAAATTAAAATTGTTTTTTCAACATTTTTTTTTAGTTTTTAAGTACCTACTATTTCTTCTTTTTTGGTTTAATGTTTATCTTTTTCTAATTTAATTTTTAGATTTTACTGTTTTGAAAATAATGTTTTTTTATTCCATTTAATTTTTAAAAAATTGTGTTATTTTATTGTCATTTGTTTTAATTTTTCATTCTTGAATTTAGTTTTCTTTTATTTATTAGTTTTTATTGTTATAAGCAGGGCTCGTATCGTAATATCCGTTCACGGATCGAAAACGGGAATGGTACAAAGAGTACGTTCACGTATCTCATAATCCGAAAATTTTGTTTTTACAGAAGACAGTAAAGAGCTTTAAAGATAGTTTCTAGAAATTGCATTTGTCTTTCGGAAGACCATGGTGAGTTGAAAGACAGTTGCCACCATTGCCCTGTTAATACTTTACTGTCTTACCTAGCACTAAGGAGCGCCTTATTTGGCACCATATACGGAAAGCACCTTAGCTATACGTGATTAAAGAGCTAAAACATGTGGCCAAGATTGTATCTTGCATGTGGCTATATATTTCACTTATTATGCCTTCCTTTACATTCGAACAAATTTCACAAGCTTTTTAGTGCTTTTGCGCAACAGCACCTTGCCTAGTGGCTGACCGAAACCCTCATATTGCTGATAGACGTGTAATCCGCGCACAATGGTGGCATGAACTACACCACGCAAGCGCTGATCCATGTAGGGAGTGGCCTGTAATACAAATACATTTGTATATAGTATGTACATATAGTTCGAATATTTTCACTCAATCTGCCATTTAATATTCCTCCTACATATGTGACAACAAACCTTATTGGTAGAGTAGAGCATATCCGCTGAGACGTTGAACTCCTCTTCTGGATCCCAGATGCAAAAATCAGCATCATAGCCTTCCTCAATTTTACTCTTAAAGCTGGAAAGACCACAGAGCACTGCCGGATTTTGGCACATAAGACGATAAATATGTTCCATACCCAGTCCATGGGTTTGACAGTGTGTCCAAACGACTGGTAGTCCTGAAGCCACAGTGTAAGAAATTGAAGACATATTTAATATTATAACAAAAAATAAAAAGAAATAAAATACCAGTAAAATAAAAAAAAATACTGATTCACTAATCACCTACATAATCCTGCGTACTAGCCTGATCAAATTATTACAGCCCAATTCTGAATACTCACGGGAATTTGTTTCTCCCGAAAAAGAACTCCACCAATAATTAACTCCCAGGGAGTAGCATTTTCCTCAGGGAATTTTTATTTATTAGGAGGAAAGTGAAAGAAGAAAAACTCCCGGGAAGTTTCTGTTCAGAATAGGCCTGATAGCTGCACAATTTAATGAAAATCTAATTGAGAAGCTTAGGAAAGCCAGAAAATTCTCCATAGAATGCTACAAGTCAAAATTATGGCAATCATACAAAGATGCAAAGAAAAAGTATAAAACGGCGGTAAAGAGGATCTGCGGGACTTAACAAATTCGTGTCTTCATAATATACCAATACAACCTCTATTAGAACAGGAGATGATGCAGGAGCACCACCTATGTAGGAGGGCCTAAACGGGCCTATTGCTATCATCAAAAGAATTACTGAACTCGATTGTGGACAAAGAAAGAACGAAATTCGCAATAAATCATTTTCCTCCGTACCTTAGATACACATTCCTCCAGGAAGTAAAGGAACCTACCGTAGAAAGGGTGAATAAAGTCCGCATGACTTATATTCTACAAAGCTGGAGTAGTGTCAAACTTGTTTTCGTCAACCAACCGGAAAAAATCCACGAAAAAGTAAAAGTCTTCAAGGCGATGATTCGTATATCATGCATGATAAAAAAAAACGGGAAAGACCCGTAGATGTTCAACTCAGTTCCCTTTTATGTAGATCAAACGCGAGCGCACCACTTGTAGGCAGAAAGCCTATTAGCAATTTAGACTGCCTTGGCCCAATGGCTAAGTACCCGGGAGTTGCATTAGATACCAAACTGAGCTGGAATAAAAATGTCTAAAGACGCAGAAAAAGAACATATATATTATACATCATGCAAGGTTGCCTTCATTAGGATTTGGGAACTAAAGCCGAAACTTGCCCTGAGGATGTACAAGGCTATAATAAGGCTAATATTCACATGCGGTACATTATACTAAATATCGTAGATAAGCAATAAACACATGCAATGTCAGAAAAATTAGTAGGATTTAACGAGCAAATTGTGCAGGGGCTACGAGAGAAATTAAGTAGAAGAACTTTTTAACCAGACTGAAATAGTCAGACTGTTGGATGTCGAAGCGCTACGAATATAATGATATTCTTGATAAGCTTTTAGAATAAGGAAAACAATCAGATTACAATTAGAAGGATAAGTAGGTATTAAAACACGCCCGGCATTCTCGCTATCAAATATTGAATGATTCTTTATTCCGCTACCTATTTCCTGGACGGTCATGGCTTAAGGGCTAGACCCATAACTCTGTGACATATCTTATAGACACAGATCGCCTTATGCCTAATTTAAAATAACTTAATGCTTATTGCAGGTATACAATATACTCTTACAATAAACGTCATGTTTGTCTGCCCATTTTATGAAGAAAACATATCGTTTACTGATGACCATCTGCGACAAAACAACCAAGTTGATATCAAGTTGAGCTCATAAATTGCTTTGAATCCAGTAAATACGGTAATTGTAGAGATATACCAGAAGGTCAGACGAGAAGCAGCTAGCCAAAGAGACGTTCTGGAAGGTAAGAGCGTAAGCGAACGTGACTATGGCGGGTGGTTATAAATGGACCCCTACTTAGGTGCGTTTTTTATATCTTTATTTAAAACAAAACGGAGGACAGTTCCAAGTTGATGCAACTTTTCAACGGACTGCATCACGCTGTAACAAATCTAGAGCTCTGCGCTTAAACCACCTCCCTGCTAAATCCCTAATGGCAATAGCGGGGTGATTGGTTGTTAAATAGAAGGAGGTTTAGATCGGATAAAGTTCCACACTTACTGTCTCTCGTAAACAAAAACCTTCTTCCTTCGCTATAATTCAAGAAAAACTTGCATGCGAAGTTTCCTTCGAGGAGGTTTTGATGTTGAGGCAGACCTCGAATCGTCACATACGACATCGTATTATTCGTCACGTAAAAACACATTTTTCGGATTATGACATATGTGAACGTACTCTTTATCCCATTCAGCTTATATGACTGACGTATCACGTAATTTTTTTCGTATGGTTTTCGATCCGTGAACGGATGGTACGATTCGAGCCCAGGATAATCGAGGGAAATTCTGCTGCCATCTGTACGGACGAATGCAAAATGAACTGTGATGTGAATGTAGGCGTAGACCCGAGATGTTGGATGTCTCCCTGTCGTTTGTACCACTTAGTTTTGCTTGTATCTTCCAAATGAAAGTGCTGGACACCGAGAGGTGCTGGAGGATATTTAATGAAGAGAAACTATTTTGAAGGAAAAAATCTTAAATAGTAAGTGATTGTAGGTGTATGATAATCTTGATGACCAAATTGATAGTATCTTGCTAACGTACACAGTAACGAGGGGACTCATAAATTAGCTAGGATCAAAGCACCTGATAAGGAATGAAGGGCGCAAGACTTCTGATGGAGGTAGAGAGAAATATAGTCAACAGACACGATCACGGGACACAGATGACTTGCTGAGCATGCAGCAAATTTCAACGAGAGCCTTAATCCTAACAAGAGTAGGGAAACGTCTAAAATTATCTTTTGCGAGAGCGCATCATCACTGGCTCGTCTAAAGTAAAATTCTAGAAAACTACATTACTAACATAGGTAGATTCAGCGAGACGGTTACCACCTACGAAGATGCTTAAAAATTGCGACAATCGATACGATCATAGGTCGCAGAGAAACCGTATTATAATGGTGCTTACAGCGCTGTTAGTTCTTGTGCGATACATAAGGTATAAGGGTCTAAAATTCAATTTTTCAACGCAAAAGTGAGTAGACTATGAGAATCCTAATAAGACCGTGAAACTTACCCAGCTGCAACGACGAGACGCCAGGCCAAGCATTCAAAAAGTTTCCACGCGCACGTCCGTAATTCAAACACTTCACTCCCGGCGTCGCTGGCGAATGATTTGAGGCAATAATATCCAAGCAACCAGCTTTCAGAGCGTCCCATAACCGGGGCTGATTTGACTTGACGCGTATCGGAGGCTGGGCTTTGAACTCGGTATGACAATCTTCGATTTGCTCTGCAGACAATGCAAGGTAATGGGGACAAGTTTCAGCAGTCAGATTTGCGCCGGCGCGTTTGCATTGCGCCACAATGGGCAACACTTCGGCGGAGCTTATGTTCATGATATGCATATGTTTGCTGGAACATCAAGAAAACGAATGTATCTTATGACTTTTTTGTTGTAAATTTCAACAAGCGTAGATATCTACCCCTTATTTGCCGTGGCCAATTGACTGATCAGTTGCACGGCATTTACTTCCATTTCCTCGGGACGTGTGCGCAAGAAGGACTCATATTTCTTGGGTTCTTCCTCATTGGGCTCTATGGCATTCTTTAGAGGCAACTCGGCATTAAACTGTATATATTAAGAAGTGGTTAATTCTACATTCTTCATTACTCATTTAAGAGCTTCATTACTCATTAAGATGCTTTCGTTTCGGGGATATTTTTTCACAAAACTTTACTAAATGTACTTGTATTGGTTTCCTAACACCTTTCGGTCTCATAGAAACGAAAGCATATCAAATTCTATGTTCACATTCTTACAGCTATAACTGTGCCATCTTCCAGCTTATCGATCACATCTTCAAGATCCTTACGATTTATGGCGGGAAAAGCATCTCCAACTGGTGCCGGTGTGGGCGAAAGTGTGCACTGCAGTCCGATAACGCCAGCGCCCAGCAACGGATCAGCTTCTTTGACATTCTCAGGTACTAGGCCACCCCAAAATCCGACATCCACGTAAAGCTTTCCACGCGCCACACCAGTTTTCGTTTTTAGCGCCGCCACACTGGTGGTGGGCGGTATGGTGTTACTAAAACGAAAAGTTAGTTTATCAACAAAATTTGTAGCACAACTGTCGAAAAGTATGCACGTACGTAGGTCTATCGATGATCGTGGTGAAACCGCCGGCAGCTGCTGCTTTTGTTGCCGCCATAAATCCCTCCCAATCCTTACGCCCCGGCTCGCTGATATTCACATTGGCGTCTATCAGACCCGGCATAAGCACTTTGTCGCCAAAATCATAGACCTACGACAAACCCAAACAAATAGTGCATATTTTTAAAGATGCTCTCTAACAGCCGCCTGCTAACCAGCAAAATGCTTTATTTCTCTCTTTTTTGCTCACCGCTTCCGATTCCGTGTTGTATACATAGGTATTCACCTCTTGCGCAGTGCGCAAAATCTTACGTATGATGCCCTCTGTGTCGACAATAATGCCACCATTGAGGAATTCCCGTTCGGTGCCCAGGAAAATTCGCTTACTTAGGAAAAGTAAATCCATTTTGCAACTTCGTTTATGGAGAAAACACTTTAAATGTTTTGTTATTATGGAATCGAAATCACTGTTAGCCTTTATTGTTGGTTAATAAGTATCTACTTCGTTGGATATGCAAATGTAGAAAATGTTTATTTTTATTGGATTCTATATTTAGAATGATTTTCCGCGTTGTGTATTTTCATACGCGATCACTCAATGGAACTGAATGAGCGAATAAAGGCAGCAGTGTTTTTCACAAAACTTTCACTTTAATTTGGTGTAAAGTGCAAAAGCTTCAGGAAGGTGAAAACGCGAAAAAGAGCTTTTTATTTATTTGATAAGGAATTGATTACTGTTATAAAATTTAAGTCATCCAACTGAATCATCTGATTCAAAAAGCGACTTGTAAACTAACAAGTAGAATAAAGGAATCTGTTATTTCGCTTCTATTTCTTGGTTGGCGCAGTAAGTGATTTAAACAGTGTCCAATAAAGCACGCCAGTCTCTTCTGTGCCAAATGACGCCAATTGGAAATGCCAAGTGAAGCCAAGTCCTTCACCTAGTTTTTCCAACGCAGAGAATGCTCCTCTCCTACCACCAACGGGTACCGAGTTAAATACTTTCAAAGCTTACTGTGTCCATTCTTTCGACAAGACCGTGCCAGCGAAGTCCTTGTATTTTAACCCAGTAGGCTCTGTTCATCTCATTGTAAATCTCAAACAGATCATCGTTTCATCGTCTGCGGTACTCGCCGTAAATCTTACGCAAAATCTTTCCCTCGAAAAATTCAATGGTCGCCTCATCGGATGTTGGCGTTGGCCATGTTTCTGAGCCATACACCATCACGGGCATTAAATATGTAGAGTGTAGTTTTTAATACGACGAGGGAGGCTGCCACCATGATCGATATTAATGATAGATCCTTAACATACGAAGTTCTTTACCTTTTCAAAATTACAACTGTCAACAGTGTCGCTTTGTCTTCGTTCACCTTCGGGCTCGCGCGCTTTGCTTCCATATCAAACTCGGAAGGTATGATAGGCAGTTGCGATGTCTGAAGTCTATTTTGGTAACGCACGGCTCGGACGGGTCTTTCCCAACGCTGTCGGAGCGGGTATTTTACAAAGCCGTATTAGTTTCTCGTGGATACCAATTTCAGCAATCGCAACATATAGCCAGCTCCTTTTTGCGCTGTCTAAAGCGACTTTGAATTCAAAAAGACAATGATTTGCAAAAATCTTTTTCTCGCGGGATTTTTCCAAGATTTGGTGTATGGCTACACCGAAACGGGTATGTCAGTTCGTCGATGGTGGGCTTCAGCCTATCACCCAATTGTCGCGATAAGACCTTATATGCGACCTTATAAGCTGATACCGCGGTAATTAGCGCACATGAGATGCTTGCAGGCTACTTTTAACTGCTCACTATCGCACCTTAATGTTAGCTGCCGGACCACTTTTTCAATCGCTAAATTGCGATTTGTACCTCGTTATAATAGGACATCGACTGTGTGGTTCTTATGCAGAGACTACGCGCAGGTCTTGAAATCTTCCATAAATCGTGTAACTTACATCAACGATTTAGATCTTCTTCAAATAATACTTGATCATATCTCAGAGAATAGAAAGAAATGATCAAAAAAAAATCGAATATGTACTTATTCATTACAAAAAAAGGAGCATTTTGAAAACCAGTAAAGCCTTCTTTCGGTCTATTATCCGAG